TATGAAAGTACTGCCTCCTTTGGTTCCCCCTGCCCAAGCACCCCTCGCTCAATCCTCAATACCTCCTTCTTGGAAGACCTCAAGGAGGAAGAAGAGATGGAAGAAGAAAGTAAACCTCCCCCTAGCAGCCCGCCAGAAACCTCTGCCCTGTCAGTGAGCACATCATCACCAGCCAAAGGGAGCCACATCAGGGCTATTGCCATGCCGATGGGGCCACCTCTACCCCGATCACGAGGCGAGAGGCTTAAGGATGATGAGAAGCTACAGAGGGAGCTGGAGGAGTTGGATCAGGAGATTGAAAGATCGGAGGTGGGCTATCAAGGTCCTTGCTGGTCATTCTGTCACTGGACTGCCAAAGCCTGCCTAAGAATTCAAGCGTACAGCAGTGTTGTGTACATGTAGTCGATTCCATCACAAGTTCCTATAAGACCATCACTAGTGATCCGGTCTGACACCAAGGGTCAGTTTGTTTTACACTGATCTGAATCTCGATCAGTGATCTGTCGGTGATTCACTGACACCAAAACCTGCCCAAAGGATGGAGTGAACCAACGTTGGGGTCTTTGACTGAGATCCAGTTCCATGTTAAACAAATAGGCCTCTAGTCACAAGTTATTCAAATGAAGTACAACAGAAGCGAGCCTTTGTCATTATTCACCCTGTTACTTACGACTGGTGCTGCGAAAGGACTTGTGGGGGATTCATCGCTGTTGTACCATATAATAATTGGCAGGGCACACTTGTCGGTTTAACCCAGTCAGACACTAATGCAGCTTCAAAAGTCTCAATCTATTTTGCCTTGAGAAATCATCTAACATTCCAGAAGAGGAAGTTCTTTCTGAAAGGTTTTCAGTTGGTCTTTTACACTGTGAAATCATCCCAGCTGCATTCTAAGAGGAAACATGCTAATTTTCTTTTGCTGTTTAACTGGAACAGTTTCACTGGACCCTCTTTTTTAACCATACAATCCTTTTTTTAACCATACAATCCCTTTTTTTAACCATAAATTCCCTTTTTTTTAACCGAAGCTCATCAGACCAGGTCCAGTCCCTTAACCGTACAGGATGCCATATCTCACTAGACCATGTCCAATGCCTTGTTTTTAACCATAGAGGATTCTAAAGCTCAGCAGACCAGGTCCGGTCCCTTAACCGTACAGGATACCATAGCTCACTACACCAGGTCCAATGCCTTGTTTTTAACCATAGAGGATTACCAAGCTCATCAGACCAGGTCCAATCCTTAACCATACAGGATACCATAGCTCATCAGACCAGATCCAGTCCCTCAACCATATAGGATACCATAGCTCACTACACCAGGTCCAATGCCTTGTTTTTAACCATAGAGGATTCCCAAGCTCATCAGACCATGTCCAATGCCTTGTTTTTAACCATACAAGATACCATAACTCATCAGACCAGGTCCAATCCCTTAACCATACAGGATACCATAACTCATCAGACCAGGTCCAGTCCCTTAACCATACAGGATACCATAACTCATCAGACCAGATCCAGTCCCTCAACCATATAGGATACCATAGCTCACTACACCAGGTCCAATGCCTTGTTTTTAACCATAGAGGATTCCAAAGCTCATCAGACCAGGTCCAATCCCTGTTTTTTTTTCAATACAGGATACTATAGCTCATCGGACCAGGTCCAAGTTTCCCATTGACAAGCCCCTTGAGGAGATTGAGGCCTCGTTTGTGGCTCCTGACATCACGGAAGACATGTTTGACACTTGGGATGATGTCGGAGAGGAGAATGAGGAATGGGTGAAATGGCTGGCCGGACTGTACTGTGCGCCTAATGGTGAGTACTAATCCATACGTTAAACCTGTCCTTCATTTGTGGCTTCATCTCTGCTTCATTTCTGGATTTATTGGTCCTTGATTTTTGAAGCTCTGAATCAATTTATAGGAATCTCTCTACTGGAAGAACATCTGGTTATGTTAAGGACAAAGTTTTGTGTGTCTCTGTCTTAGTTTGATAATTAGAGGCCCACCAACAGTTTTGAGAGCCTGAGATAAAGTAACTAGTCAGCAACAGGTGAAATAGGAGGAGTGGAAGGTCGTACAAAATGAAGCCAAGGTCTTTGAAATGGCTGTGGAGGATTCTGCATATTGACCCTCCTATGTGGAAGTCACTCTTTGGGTCATTTGGTGAACACCTCAAAGAAGCACAGCTGTGTTGTGTTGTGCACTGCATTAACCCTCCTATGCTGAAGTCACTCTTTTGGTCATTTGGTGAAAACTTCAAAGAAGCACAGCTGTGTTGTGTTGTGCACTGCACCAACTGTCCCTCACAGGAATATCAGATTGCACTTTGGTGCTGCCCAATAACTGTGCTTCACTGTTTCATGTGCGTCATTGTGCAGTAAACCAAATGCAGTNGGGTTTAGTAGATTAAACTAACCAATATTAGATTAGATTCTTGAGGTAAATAATGGGTTTAGTAGATTAAACTAACCAATATTAGATTAGATTCTTGAGGTAAATGTTGGGTTTAGTAGATTAAACTTACCAATATTAGATTAGATTCTTGAGGTAAATGTTGGGTTTAGTAGATTAAACTAACCAATATTAGATTAGATTCTTGAGCCAAATGTTGGGTTTAGTAGATTAAACTAACCAATATTAGATTAGATTCTTGAGGTAAATGTTGGGTTTAGTAGATTAAACTAACCAATATTAGATTAGATTCTTGAGGTAAATATTGGGTTAAGTAGATTAAACTAACCAATATTAGATTCTTGAGGTAAGTGTTGGGTTTAAGTAGATTAAATTAACCAATATTAGATTAGATTCTTGAGTTAAATGTTGGGTTTAGTAGATTCAACTAACCAATATTAGATTAGTTTCTTGAGTTAAATAATGGGTTTAGTAGATTCAGCTAACCAACATTAGATCAGATTAGATTAGATTCTTGAGGTAAATGTTGGGTTTAGTAGATTAAACTAACCAATATTAGATTAGATTCTTGAGGCAAATGTTGGGTTTAGCAGATTAAACTAACCAATATTAGATTAGATTCTTGAGGCAAATGTTGGGTTTAGCAGATTAAACTAACCAACATTTGTTTGTATGTAGTATGAAAATGAGGACTGGGCAGCTGACTTTGATATGCGGCTCTTTGACCGACCACCACAGCCTACCCTGTCAGAAATGATCTCAGCCCAGCGACAGGCAATCACCCCGAGGCCAGGACAGTGTAAGAGCAGGAAGGCAGAGGACCAGGAGCAACAGCAGCTTCAGATCCTGGTGTTCACGGATGGCGAGAGGGTTCAACTACAACAGCAGATGCAGCAGGTCAGTCAAGAATCAGAATACTTGGCATATTCCTCGAGGAATAATGACTTTTTTGTTTGAGAACATTTGGGTAACACCAGGGCCCAATGTTATGGGGCTGCTTAACAGTTGCAGAAAAGTGGTGGTTTTGCTTGCATAGAGATTTCCATTGTTACATTATTAAGTTAAACAAATTGTTCATTTGATATAAGCATGCCTTGTGTTGTGCTTACTGCTTGCAGTCTCCATGAAATACACAGAGCATCCGTAAGCATAAAATCATGAGATCCCATAAAGATGAATCAGGTGACCGTGGTAACACAATTATTGGTTAGGACATGAAAAAGTGCTAGAACTTGCTGTAAAGTTTGAGCGAAGGAACTATGGGATGGATCACACATGTATGCATCGAAAACCTCCTATCACAGAATGAAAATAAAAGTCACACAGAAGAAATAGAGGCATTTGATTCGGTGCTGCTTGTTCTACATTGAGATTAGTTAAGCTTGAATTTTTGATCAGGTAGAAAAGTTCAGTGGAGACGTGAATAATTTTTGTCCAAATTGTCCTTGTCAGCAC